TTACTTAAGATAGTCTATATTTGAATGGTTATATAGCCATAGGTTACTCTAGAAATATTTTTGTGAACTAACACAATGTTGTCAATCATTTACAAGGTTAACAGTAGATGACCAGTCTTGCATAAACCATTCAACTGTGTTTTTAGAGTCATGTATAAACTATCCACTTTCAATTTAATAGCATCACACTACACTTTGTATATCAAAGAAAACAAACAGAGAACTAGAAGACAGGCAACCGTGAACCAATATTACTGATATTAATTTCAGCACAATACCAGCTATAGACAACATATAAAAACACTTTGTGGTGTTGAGTGAAAGAAAACATACTCATACAGTACAGTACAGTCCCAGCCAGCATAACTTAACTTACATGTTGGTTATCAGTGGCCAATTACAATTAAAGTGAGTGTCGTTATCACTAATTCTTAGTAGCATTTACCCAAGTTACTAATATTAAGCAGAGACTGTACTCTGCACAATTGTGATATACAGGTATGGCAGTTCTGAAAGCAAGCTGAGATAACCTGCTAGAAGCTAGCTAAATGTTAAGTTATGCTCAGGCCATACTTTTTGTGCATTTTGAAAAATATAAATTCAGAATCCATGACCTGATAACATCTATAGTAGTGTTAGTACTAAAAATTAGAGACAAATACATATATATAAAGATTTTCAGTTTCATAAATAGAGGAATGTAAATATGAACTGCAGCTATTTGTATATTCTTTGGGCACAGCTGTGTTAAACAACATCACAAGTTGCTTGGACGCATAACTCTGTACTATGTATTTTTATGGGCTCTTTGTGAGCTACTGTGGAACACCGGTCTAACAGCTACCGTAAGTCAAGAAAACAGCACAAACTCAACTCTGAGGTAATCCTGAACAACCAAATTGGTAAGTTGCACATGTAAGGGTAAGTTGTTAAATTGTTCAGGAGAATCTCAACAACTAGTCCTAAGTAGTGTTGTTTTTCTACCATTGTTTTCAACGATTATGAAAATACTAAGATGTTTGCTCCGGAGAACATACAATGTAAACCTAAACTGGTACATGAATGTAAAAGCCAGAACAGCTACAGCTACCGCTACCAGGTCTTTTCAAATCCTACATATATTAATAAGTTGTTCAGGTAGCAAAATAATGGCTTCAGTTTCCTAATCAATTTGAAGCTAATCCTGCACTACAAAGTATACATTACTTTTTATAAAGAACATTCACAATCTTAAAATGTCACAATTAAATTAAATCAACTTAAGAATGCAGCTATTTGCGATAGAGCCCTAAACAAAACACAATTGAAGTTGTCATGTGATATGTAAACACTTAGGTCTACTTTTACAACTAAAGAAACCATTTTCGTTTGTGTACAAATGAAACTAACTGTGGTGTCTCCTGAGGCAAACGATTTAACTTTTTGTATCTCAAGAATGGTAATGGTTTCCTAGATAATTATATGTGGACTTCTATTGTAGAAGTCTAAATATGCAAAACCAATGGGTTTAAATATTATTTGTGGACAAAACAATAATTTGTTCTGTTAACTTTGAATTTTATACTAGATTTTAATTTTAAAGCTTTTACGTAAAAGCAAATTGTGCGAATCTTCAAAAACTGGACTGATTTACAGTAAAGACTTCTTAATTTGACTAAAATTGTGAATAATTAACCCAGTTTTAATGTAATTGGAATCTTGTGTGAATTACATTTTAGATTGGATAGGGTTATTGGAACCAAGTATATTTTTTAATAAGGCCTTAGCTATCAGTAAATAAGTTATTTTGTGCTAGTCAAGGTTATTGTTCTAAAATAACCTACTTAATTATGTAAATAAAATTAATTATTTCTATTATGTGAAAAACCATCATGCTGACCCAAATTTCTAGGGAGACCACTACATATACTAAATATGAAACTCTACTGGACACAACAAGATCTGCCCTTTCCACCAAAAAAAACCCTTAAACGGATACACTTTCAAAACCATCGGTACAACCTCTACATGATTTATGAGCACTATTCATGTACACTTGGCACCCCAAGGTGCTTGTGTAATTGTACTAAAGTCTCTTATTTACAACTTAACACCATATAAATCAAAGACATATGGTAAATGTCTGAAATTTCAATTACAGGAAAACTATTTTATCCTCCAGGATCCTCAGTAGCATGTGTTAGAAATAATCCAAGGCCATGTGTAGGCATTGGTGATGATTGTTGTACACTCCACATAGTATATACTGGTATAATCTATAGGAGCAATTGATCTAACACTACTGAGAGGCAATGTCGTAAATGTACCACAGGGATCGAAATACCCTGGTGCACACTGCACTATGCACATAGATTATTAGCTAGTGCAAGTAAACTTAAAATATAATGTGCACGCTGTGCATGTAGAAACAACATTTTCTCATTAAAGCCTAAATTAAGTTCAACCAACATTGTGAAACAACTAAAAAAAAAACAATTTTTTCGTGATCGCATCAATCGAGAACCCATAAATTTTATTTAAACTTTAAAAGTAGTGCATTTCACAACAAGTTAGTACAGGTAAATTTCAAATTCAACATGCACACTATGCATGCAGGGAAAAAAATTCTATTTCAATCCCTGTACCAAAAACAAAATCACAAAATTAACTGTCACTCTTTCTCATAATATCCCAGAGAAATTTTAACTCCTACACAAAATTTGGTGATCTTCACTAACATGCAGAATTCAGGAAAAATTGTCACTCTGGAAATTACATTGTAAAGTAGTTTACAGTTTATATGCATGGACGTACTTGGCCTTCTCCCTAAATTTGAGATGCGGATGGTTATTACAAGTGCAGGAATGACAGCTTATTAATACTAGAATATGGAAATGTCAGAACATAATGGACCCAAATTATTACTAGTATCTTCTTTTCAAAAAGCAATAGATTAGCTTTCAAATATTTTTTTTTATATACTAGTATATATATAATTATTTAGTATAATCTAATTTCTACCAACGAGTTGAGAGGAGCACATCTGTCATGAACCATACAGCCAAATTGGAGCACATGTTGAATGACAAAGTTTGCTAGCAGTTGTTTACTAGTTTAGGTGATATATCACTATGTTATGCATGATGTTACCAACAATGCTTGACCTTTGTCCAGCACATTAATCTGCTATATGATCCCTTCATATAGTGTGTCATTCACAGTTAGTGAAACATTATGTACCAGTATTACCATGTTACACTTAATACCTTTATAGATTTAAGTGAAAAACGTGAATTTATTCTAAAATGATGCATATCTGAAAGTTTTTGCTGTAAGAAATATGAAATTCTCTCATAATTTCAAATTGATTTGTGTCCCATGAGACCCAACTATGAAGCAACCGACCCACACATACACTGACCTTATGAGTCATATTGAATTGCACCATGCCAGGTGTCGTCACAAAAATTGTGATTTGCCATCCACCACTGGATAAATATAAATTTCTAACTATATATTTTTATTATTTATAATCCGGGCTTATTACAATTTGAGCACAGTGCGATAAATCGCAATCATTTCATGAATTGTGTCGTGGCGACATGTCATGTCATCACACAGGCGGTTGAGTCGAGTAGGACCGTACTGTGAACAACAACAACACATCGTAAACACGAGATTTTGGGGGTTACAAATACTAAAACTAACAAGTTACCTCGTCCATATCCATGTGTGTGTTTAGCAAAACTGTTCACCACTGCGTCTACAGCTTCCTTCAGTATCGATTTCGCCCTCTGGTCAGTCATATTAGCCTGAGGTGGTCGCGTTGTCCCGGCTACCACACCGGGGCCAGCCGAAGCCCGAGCTCTAGCATTGGCACCCATGGCAGGAACGGGCCTTTTGTGTACAGGTCTGGTAGCCATTTCTAGTTCTGGGTGAAAAAACGGGAATCACTTCGCGTACGGATGGCGAATTGCAGCCAGAGAATACTACGTTGGAAATACTATATATCAGATGAGATCACGCTCATCAGTCCGGTAAGAAAAAAATCTCACAAATGAGACCTCCAGCTGGCAAACTACAACGTAAACTCAGTCTACATGACCTTTCACAACTCGATCGGCTTCGAATATTTTGATACAGCCGTATGACAAAATCGTATACATGCACTAGACAAGTCTTGTATAAAATAGTTCGTTACGTAATTTTTTTCGTGTCAGACGATTATCTGTGACTGTAGCGAGAATATGAACTATATAAGGTTTACATTTCTTTTCGACTAAAATTATTTTAAAAACATGTAACTAACAATAAATATTCAAGCCCGACTTGAAGCGCGGATTGATATGTAATTAGTAATCTTGTTCAGTTTCCCCAATTACTAATAACCTGTTTGGAGAATTTTGCCGGATCTATTTTTTATGTAATGGACGTTTCACTTTTCAGGTATTGAAGTTGAGAGATGTCTGCGCCATAACAGCCATCGTTTCTTGCTAAACTGTGGTGCCAAATCATTGCCGGGGACAACAGAAAAGCAAAAGTATCATAATGCGACCTCTTAACTTTTTACAGCCAGCTTGGAGGGCCACAATCGTACTGAATGCTGGGATAGGAAGCATGGCTGCTACGGGAAAGAGATCGGTTCTGTTCGTCTGCCTCGGTAATTAACCACTTAACTTTCTGTAATGACCGCTTTTTAAAAAAAAATTGACATTGTCCCAAAATACATCCTTGAGTGTAATTCATTACATGTCGATGTAGCGTATTCAACTGCTCATGGAATAATTTATTTTTAAAACCGGTATACACAGGTTATCAAAATCGGAAGGAATAGACTTTAGATTAAGTAGTGTTTTTGGCCCACCTAGGTCAGGTTGATCCCACACTTATTACGGAAATGAGTTGTGAGGATATATAATTATTATGTGTACTTGTGTTGATCGCAGGCACGACTTTAAGATGGGGGGGGGGGGCGTGGCAGATATGTTAGAATGTTATTCAAAATATTCTAAAACATAAAATTAATAATTATTTAGATTATTATTGGTGGTCTGTAGTAATACTGAAATTTTTTTATGTAGGCAGTCATCAACTGAATTAGCAGTAGTTTTGCATTGTTTTGTGTTTGAATAGGTCAAACATCGTCTGTCAGTATACAGGGTCAGTGGTGATGTATCAGTGCTGTATGTACTGACAAACAATGCTCTGGGCCTATCCAAACCCCAAATGATGCAAAATATAAATAATATATAACGGTTTAGTGATGTCTATGGTTACAGTGCCATCATCTTTAGCTGATTTTTCTTGAATTTTCTTTAGATTTATTATCTATTATAGGGTAATATCTTATCTGGAACATACAACAAACCTAAAAAAACTAAATAGCAAATATTCTCAGCATATTTTTGCCACAAAAACACAAATAAATAAAACCTGTTTTTGATAAAAGAAATGTGTGGAAACTAGAGAAACCTGCTATTGATCTAAGTATTGAACCAGAACAAATGTATCTGTTGTCTGCAATGACAACTTTTTCTGTCTTTCTGTGCTATTCTCTCTATTCCTTTCCCTCTCTTCTCCTTCTTATAACATTTCTATGGATCTTTATATCCCACTTGTAATCACATGTACACATTTCTAGGCAATATATGCCGTTCACCAATGGCAGAGGCAGTTTTCCGTAGCACAGTGAAACAGAAGGGAGTAGAATCAGAATGGAAGATTGACAGCGCAGCAACCTCAACTTACGAAATAGGCAAACTGCCTGACCCAAGGAATCTAGCATGTTTAAAGAAGCGTGGATTATCATCAACACACAGGGCTAGACAGGTATACACGTAGTGTTGGTGACAGTAAAAATGTCTTTAGCTTCCTGATGTACTGGATGCTACATGGGCATTTTGTTTGCAAGGCTGTGGATAAAAGACTTGATGAGTGCTGGTGTTTCTCTAACAACAGTTAATACAGTTTTGATTTGATTTTCGATGTATTTTGAATATTCAGTATTATGCAATGAATATAGTTCATTTAAAAAAAAAATCAACCTGTGGCCATCACAACAAATTCAAGCAATTCAAGCCTAGTCTTTTATGCTCAGCTTCAATTATATTTTAAGATTAATATAACAAAATAATTAAGATCAATGTCCATTTCGTTCACGCCAATAGGTAATATTTGCCGTTCCCCTATGGCGGAAGCGGTATTTGCCCATACTGTCAAAGAACATGGATATGCTGATGAATGGACAATTGATAGTTGTGGAACTGCTGATTATCATATAGGCAAGCAACCTGACAAACGCGGTATTGCTTATTTGAAGAGTCAAAACATTCCTGTTAACCATCGTTGCCGGGAGGTACGTGTTCCCGATATCACGTCCATGCTTAATAGTCCCCGTTCGGACGCAGTTCGAAAACGGGAACTTATGTTTTGACCTCCGTGCGTGCGTGCGTCTGTGCGTGCGTCCGGATCTGTATCTTAGAAATGCCTGGACCAATCACAATCAAACTT